GTCTGGTGATGATAATGATGATGGGATCGACGGTGATGATGATGATGATAACAACGATGATGATGATGATAGGGATGGTGGTGAACGCATGAGGAGTAAGGCGAACGACAAATTTGTTGCATTAGAAAAAGACAACCAAAATACCAAAAAGTTGACAACAACAACGACAACATCAACAACTACAACAACTACAACAACAATGAAATCATCATCAGTGACGTCATCAACAACATCTAACAACTCATTCAATCTGCAACAAGTTGATCTCAACAACAACGACGACGGTAATTACGTCATCAAGAACGACAAGATTGATCACGTGATTGACGAAAACAATAACAACAACAACAACAATAGTAATAGTCACGTGATTCACGAAATCAACAACAACAAATGTAAAAACAACAAAAAATACTCTTGCAAAGACAGTTACAACAACAACTACAACAACAACAACATTAACAAAACTAATAGTAGAAACAGGAAAAGGAGCAGAAATAATAACAAAAACAACAACAAAAATAATAAATATTATAAAAATATTGATGACAACAATGTCACTTGCGGACAACAACAACAACAACAACAACAACAAATCCAAACAACAACAACAACAACATCAACAACAACATCATCAAGACATACAGAACAACTTACAAGCAGCCAGCGTCAAATTCTGACTAGGACAAATGATAAAGTAGATGATGTTGTTGTTGCTGATGTTGTTGTTGATAGAAATAGCAACAACAACAACAACAACATCAGCGTTTTTGTGGATAATTGCACAGCATATACGGACAACAAAGATACTATCATCGATAATGATACGAGTGTTAACAATAAGAAAGACGATGATGATAATGATAACAATGATCAGGATGATGACGTAATAGAGATACTTGATACAAATTCTCATGGATATATGGAAAGCCATCCAGTTTGTAATGCTTCGAAAGGTAGAAACAACTCAACTTTAAATGAACATTTGGAGGCCCACAGCAACCACTCTGATGATGATGATGGAATGAAATATAAAAGTATGCCTCTATTTTTGCACGTGTGTGTGTGTGTGTGTGCGTGTGTGTGTGTGTTTATATGATAGTTGAAATGCTTGCAATTCGAATAGATGACAAAAGAATATTTTTACAAAATCTGAAAGATGCATTTTTTAGTATCTTTCGTGTTGTTGCCATCTGCTCTGCTAGCTCTAATAATGTCCCATTAAATCAATTCTTCACTTTGTTTTTTAACGAAGAATTTTTCTTTCAAGTTAAGGCTTTTTTCTGATGATTTGATAGACAATGTTTCTATTTGGTTTGTCTGTCTGTGTGTCTGTCTGTCTGTCTGTCTGTGGGAGTGTGTGTGTGTGTGAGAGAGAGAGAGAGAGAGAGAGAGAGAGAGAGAGAGAGAGAGTGAGAAAGTGAGTGTGTGTGTTTAAAAGGTCATTTAAATGGAATTATTATTACCTCAAAGTTTATTTATATAGAGCTTCATATGTTGCTAAGTGTAGTTTTATGTTTATTTGCAATCCCTGCTATGGTTTATGTTGTGTGCTTATTAAATCGCTGGCATTCCAAACCAACAACACAATCCTATTTATAAATCCATCCATTCTTCCATCCATCCATCCTTCCTTCCATCCATCCTTCCATCCATCCATCCTTCCATCCATCCATCCATCCATCCATCCATCTATCCATTAATACTACCACCGCTACTACTACTAAAGATATCTGGTCGGTATTATTAGAGAAACGTATGTGGTGCAAATCCTAAATGTTTGTAAACACGAGGGAAGCAAATAAGATACAACTCACACACACGCACACACACACGCACACACACACACGCAAATGCAAGTACATATTATACATCATCATACTTAACTGGATTATACACGCCTTTAATACAACCAATCTGTATGCATGTGTGTGTGTGTGTGTGTCTGTGTATGTGTGTGTGTTTAAAGATTTTGTTTTTAGATAATCATTAATGTTGCTTTCGTTGCTACTATATTAAACATACACACAAAGATATACACATGTAAGTATGCCCACAAGTGTACAGAAGCGTACACACACGCACAAATACACGCACAGACGCACACAGCACGTACGTACATACATTACATAGTTTCATAACATCCCATGCAAGCTGTGCCCTATATGACTCATCATTATCATCACCAACAATTTGATGATGGTGGTGGTGTTGCTGATGTATTATTATTATTATTGATAATGATGATGTTGTTGTTGTTGTGTTTCTCTTTCGTCTGTGTAATAATTGCTGATGAATGGTAATCAATGTGATATGTGTGCTGAATATTAATGACTTAATTATAGGATTAATTATTCACGATGATGATGATGATGTTGTTGATGCTGATGATGATGATGGCGTAAGATGAGGCTGATGATGATGACGTAAGATGATGCTGATGACGATGTTACTTTAAATAGATTGTCATCATTATCTACGTACATCTGCCTCTACATACCAAGCATTCTTTCATTTTGACTTTCACAATCAATCAATCAATTTATTCATCCATCCATTCATCTATTATTTTCTTTATCCATCCATCCATCCATCCATAAATTTATTCATCGCATATGCAAACATTTTGTATGCTTAGCACACAATTATTTGTACAACCAGCGTACAATCGTAAATATTCATACATACATACGAACATACATATCATACATACATACGAACATACATACACACAAACAAACATAAAAACATACATACAAACATACAAACAAACATACATGCAATCCACACGTCGTACATGTGTTTGTATATAATTGTATGCATGCGAGTGTTTGTATCCCGTACATGTGCAGAGTTACGCGTTTGTGTATATGCGTGTTTAGTTGAGTGGCATGGGTGCGCACACGAAGGACATGGGTGTAGATAGGGTACATACAATCTCTGTGGTTGACCCGATGACCTTAATTATAACTCGATCTCCATATTTTGTCTTCCTCCATAGCCAACTGTTAATCATCAAAGCAGTCACTTTTTTCAATGTTACATCATGCTTACAATTGTTTATAGTTGATGTGTTTTCACGATGTTTCAAATGATATTTCATTGTTCTTTCGACGACATTTGTCATCATCTCATGCCTCCTCCCCACATTAATGACGTCACCATCGTCTGCAGATGTTGTCGCTACTGCTGCTGCTGCTGATGACGTGACTGCACTGCAGTTCCTCGAAACCTGCATCAACGAGGTTGAGAGCGTCGGTTCGACGGACGGCAACATCAGCAACACTGATGACATCATCAACGAGGACAGCAAAAACAACAATGATGACGTCATTAATTATGATTCCAGTCAAATCGTAACTGACATCAACGACCATGACATCAACAACATCAACAGCAGCAGCAGCAGCAGTAGCGACATCAACTGCAGCAGCAGCACTACGGATTTGAACTTTATGAGCGGCCTTCAAGGAGCAACAAAAATAAGCATAACATCAACATTTAAAATGCCTACATTAATATCCACATCATCGTCGTCGTCATCACCGCTTATCTTTTCATCGTCATCATCAGCAGTCACAGTAGCCACACAGCAATCCACAAATTTCAGCAAGACTACTGAATCAAAGGCAACAAGCATTACATTTCTTTCCCCGCCTCCTCTCCTCACTGCATTAACTTCTGCAGAATCTACGTTTCCCACCACCACAACCACCACCACAGCCGCCACTTCAGCAGCTTCAAACGCGTCATCATCTCCAACGTCAGCAACATCATCTCCGACAACGCCCAGCAAACTTCATGCGGTTGAAACCTCAGAGTTCAAAGTTGAGGAGACAGAAGATAGAATCAAAAGTACGCCACATTGCTGCTTTTATTTTACAACATTCGTTCATTCATTCATTCACTCACTCATTCATTCATTCATTAATTCATTCACTCATTCATTCATTCATTCATTCATTCATTCATTCATTCATTCATTCATTCATTCATTCATTTACTCACTCATTCACTTATTCATTCATACACTTACATCTAAGGCCTCGAAAGAGTTTTGAAGACCATGAAAGCCGAAAAGTTGAAGATGTTGTTGGAGCTGAGGCAGTTGTATGCGGCTTTGGACCAGAAGGAGGAGGATTTGAATCTGTTCGTTGAAGATTTCGAGGCGAAGATTGCTAAAGGAAACCAACTCCTCGCCAAAGTTCGTTCCCATCTTCGTTTCTCCCTTTCAAAATTTTCATCTAAAGTAGAAATTTCGAGTAGAAATTTCGAGTAGAAATTTCTACGTTCACTCACTCGTTTGGATGAAATTTTTAATTTTTACGTTCCAGTTATTAAATGAGAAAAATAATTTGGAGAAACTAAACGCTGAGTTGGAAGTTAAACTTCAGGTTGGTTCCTTTTTTGACTGTTTGATTGAAAGATTATTTTATTCATTTACTAATTTACAGATTCATTTATTCATTCATTTTCCACTTGTTCATTCATTCATTTATTCCCAGCAATCAACTGATCAATGTTTATCGTTAAATCTCGATCTGGAGCTGAAGAGTCAGGTCATTGAGCAATTGAAACTTCAGCTGGAAAGTTCACAGGTCTGTGTCCGTGTGCGTGTGTGTCTGTCTGTGTACGTGTGTGTCTGTCTGTGTGTGTGCGACGTGTGTGTGTGCGTGTGTGTCTAACTAAACTGACTTCTATTACGTAATTTATTGGGTGAATAATACTTGAAGGTCTTCTTGAAGGCGTCGGCATCGTCGAACAGCGGCAGCAACCTCTCAACATCCTCCTCGCCCAAGCCCCCAACTTCAACCAATCCCAACCAATCAAAAATCGTCGCCTCGTCCGAAGACAACCTATCGATCACTGGTCAGAAGGCTTCTCACGATGAAATTTCTTGCGTTTCTATTGGCCAGAAGATCACCAACGAAGAAGTTTCTTATATTTCCATTGGCCAGAAGACTGCTCACGATGAAATTTTTTGTATTCCTATTGGTCATTGGAAAGCCAATCACGTTCTTGCTTGGTTGGAGTTTGAGATGAACATGAGATGCTATTCCAGCAATTGTAGAGAAAATATAAAAAGTGGGAAGGTTAAGGCCGGTGATGAAGCAGATGATGATGATGATGATGATAATTATTATTAAGAAGAAGCAAAATAATTTATTACTGCCCACAAAACTTAGGTCTTACTATCAATGACGGACCAGGAACTCAGCACATCCCTGAATCTTCTATCCCCAATGCACAAAAGAAAACTCAGAGTAGCCATTGAGAGACTGAGGAGCCCACTAAATATGTTAGTGTAGTTAGGAGAGTGCTAAAGTACAACTATCCCTGCATTCCAATTATTAACATAAAGATAAGAGTGTATCTATAAGACTTGATAACCACCAACACAGCAAATATCCAATGATGGATCGACTAACAACCACGTGGATATGTTCAAGATGGCTGACAGACATCGGCCTGCCTCAGTACGTTTCAATTTTTGAGGCGCATCTAATTGACGGACGTGTCTTGAACTCGCTGACGGCGAAAGATCTGGAGAAGAAGATGGCGATGACGACGAGAACCCACGTCACGAGTGTGCTGACCGCTGTTCAACTGCTCACTATGCTGGAGTACGATGTCACGGTTGGTTCCTCGTGTTGTTGTTGTTGTTGCTGCTGCTGCTGATGTTGTTGTTGTTCGTTCGTTTGTTTGTTTATTATTAATAAAAATTTCAAACAGGTTCTAGAAAAACAAAGAAACTTAAACTCATTATCGAACGAGCAAACAACTTCAACGACATCAGCCAGCGCGGTTTCAACGCTGTTGTCGCCGAAATCAGCCTCATCAACGCCGAGACTGGCTTCAAAGTCAGCTACGTTGTCGGTTACACAGCAGCATCAACATCAACAACAACATCAACAACAACATCAACAACAACGTCAACAAGATTGCTTGTACTGGACGAATGATGACGTCATTAAGTGGATTGATTCGATTGATCTGCAAGTAAGTTATGATAATTACGATTACAAATTTGATTATTTTGAATGATAACAATGATGCGTACGAACGAACGAACGAGCGAACGAACGAACTGAACAGGAGTACTCGTGCAATCTGAAACAGTCAGGCGTGCACGGAGCTCTTATTGTTCTAGATCAAAAATTCAACGCTGAGTTGCTGGCTGCCGAGTTGGGCATCCTATCAGATAAGACCTACCTCATCAGACATCTTGCCGTAGAGCTGCAGTGTCTTCTGCAACAAACTGCTAGGTTGGCTGTTTGGCTGATATGTTGATTTATTATTGTTAATCATATCATAAATAACTTCACCCTTTCCCACACAACTCACTTGAATGAAGCTGTATATACGAGAAGTGAATGCACACGAACAAACATATAAATTTTAATACGAACCCGCTTCATTCAATACAGAATCAATTAACTGTTGTGTGGCAGGCTGTGTAGAGACACAGTAGGTTGTCTTGTTTGCACGCACACCTGAGTGTACAACACAGATCGACAACATGTGTTGTACACTTGCAAACACACGCAGGCACCTAGCTTATAAAAATAAGTTGTTGCATATCCACACAAACAAGGTACAAAGGAAAATTCGACAAATGTCACAGCCGATCATTTTCAACATCATCGTCTGCGTCGTCGTCATCATTGTCATCATCAAAGCTGAAGGCGATGCTCCTGAAGGAGTATTCCTCGTCATCGCTATCTTCAACTTCAATATTTAATAATAACAACAACAGCATTAACAATAACCTTTTCAACGCCAGATCCTCATCTTTCAGCTTCAAAGTAAGATTTCTTCTTCAATGTCCTCTCGGTTTCAATATAAAACTAGTTTCCGTTCAGAAATATTATTTTCTCTCTCTCTCTCTCTCTCTCTCTCACTCGTTCATTCATTCACTCATGCCATTATTCATTCACTTGCAGGGTTCGCTGGGCAGAGCCTTCGGTAAGAAAGTAAAGAAGGAGAACATTCGAGTGATGACGACGACGGAACCTGTCAGGATGGAAAATAATATTTTCAATCTGTTCCAGCTGCCATCTGCCGCGCCAGACATCAACTCCAACTGTGACGTAACAAGCTTCGACAACAACTTCAACAAAATTAGCCTGGCTTCTTTAGAAGGAGATGCTAACATATTTTCGTCATTGTGTGATCTGCAAGATGTTTTTAATGCAACTACCACTACTGCTGCTACTGCTACTACTGCTTATGTAAATAGTAATTGTAACAATGTAGTTGGTAGTAATGTTAGTTGCAGTAAAAGCGGGAACCATGTTGAAGGATGTCTCAAAACGTCAGCCAGTATTAAAGGTGCCACACCTCGTGTTTCATTTTCGGATTTTTTGACATCATCCGCCTCACCTTTCTTCTCATCGAACACGACATCAACAACATCCACAACATCAAAAACATCAACTTCCCTGTCAGCATTCTTTCCGATGACAACAAAGACGCTAACGACCAACTTTCCTTCTACAATCGACTCTCCGACAACCACAACAACCACAGCAGCCACAGCAGCCACCACAACCGCAACAGCCACAACAACCACAATGCCTCTAAATTATTGTCCGTCGACTTCATCAACTGCAACATCGACCCAGAATTTAATATCACCCATTCTCTCTGCAACCCCCTTCGCCACCTAGCATCAAAAAGTCTCGAAAATCAGAAGCCACAACCTCGGCGACACCATCTACTTCTACGGTTTCCAAAAAGTCGGGACTTTTTGGCTTGAGAGCGTTCGGTAGTGTTGGAAGTAACAAAAGAAGGAAAAGTTTGGAGAGCAACTCTCAGAAGTGAAAGAATGAGAAAATGAAAGAACGAACAAATAAAAGAGTGATAGAGTGAAGAAATGCTACTTTAGTGCGTACGCGTTTGTACATATCTGCTTGCATATCTGTGCGTTATTCTAGATTTATATTTTTGAATGAATGAAAGAATGAATTAATGAGAGGATGAAGGAATGAAAGACTAGACAAATAAAAAACAACTGTTGTGTTCTGATAGCCAATATTAATTTGATATATTTATATAAAAATTTGTTCATGTGCTTTCGATATGTATTTGTTTATCATCATAGATGCATGCAATGTACACTTTTGTGCAAGTTCATTCGAAGCTTTTTATACTGTAATGTTTTTTTCATTTCGCCCTAATCAGAATTACGCAGTATGTAATGGCTGCGAACAAATAATGGCTGGCATTATTATTCATAACTTTTATCTCTTTTCTATCCTGTTGAAGATTGTTCGCTTATTTAATCGTTCGTTCATTCATTCAATTGTTCCTTCATTCATTCATTCGCTCAATCATTCATTCATTCATATTTCTAAGGCCCAGACATGCTCTGTCACATGTTATATTCTTTCCATCATGTCGTTGTTTTATTTTGTGGCAGAGGTTGTGTTGAAGAAATAAGCAGTTTCGTCCGTATATAGCTTTGCTTAGAGTCTTACTAGATTCGTTTAAACGGGCAAGTTTATTGACGGAATCTGATTCTCTGAACTCGTGTCTTGGCTAAATTTTTCTGAATGCCTGCCTCTCTGGCTGGCATAGTTAGTTTTCTCTTGGATTTCTAACAGGTCGTACGATATGATAATAATAATAACTGTTTTCAAGCATTTCTCCATTTAACTGTGCAATTTATTATTTCAGGTATTTGAAATTTTCAGTCATTTGTGCCATTCATGCACTCATTCATTTCATATTTTGCCCATTCGTTCGTTGGGTTTTTCAATCTTCATTACTCTGAAATCAGTGTTGCTAGCTTACTCCGCAGATGGCTGAATATGTTTTTGGTAGTGTCAAAACACAATTTTCATAGAATTTCAGAGATTCTTTGTTTGAAATTCTGTACAGTGAACAATCACTGGGACGAAACACTTACGATGAAATTCATCAAGAATCAGCGCGCGTATAAATAAGAAAGGCAAATAAAACGACATGAAAAAACAAAGCTAACTATGTGCTAATAAACCCATTCATTCATTCATCAATCGATTCATTCATTCATTCATCTATATATCCTTCCATCTAATGACAACACATCAATCTCTGAGTAGATAATTTAAAACAATGACGATGCAATAAAATATTATTTGATTGATTCAAATTTCCTAAGAGGATATTTTTATTTTCTCTGGACGTCCGCAGAATTGTGCTCTGTTAAAAATGAAGTATGGAAGAAATGCAAGAGGATGAGAAGGTGCACAACATGTCAGTGCTTGAAATGCAGTTGTGGGTAGGGTATCCGTCATGATCTTCCTCTCTCCGGAGGTACATCACTTCTTTCCACGGGTACATCACTTCTTTCATTATCTGCCTTTCCTGTTGTGGTGTTCGGAGTTGAGCAGTTACAAACTTCTCTGGAACGAAAAATAATCTAAAAATAAAAGTAAATGTTGAAGGGTGATGAAAATCATGCCTGCGTCATTAGAGCAGGTGGGACCAATCCAGTTCGAGGTACATCTACACTTTCCTGTCACGTGATCACACGTTGATTCGTTACTGCATGAACACCTGGAACTGCATTGCGGACCGTAGAAACCTGAGAGATGGAAGGAATGAAGTCAGTGAGTAGATAGGGTGAATGAATGAAAAGATTACAAATCAGATCACTTGCCGGTTTCACATTTTTTCTTCTCAATCATTGTCATCATCTTTTTCCTCTTCTTCTTCATCTCTTCGCTCATCTCTGCAATTTCACATCTCTCACCATGGTAGCCGGAAGCGCACAAACACTCGCCTGTGATTGGATGACACTTTGACGCGTGCGCACACGAACACTTGTGCTCGCAGTGAGAGCCGAACCATCCATTCGGACAGACTTTAATTATAAAGTACCATTGTTTTACGCTTAGTTAAAGTTTATTGCTTGTAAAAAGATAAAAAAGAATCGGAGAATTATTTACCGAACTGACATCTGGGACCGTACCACCCAGCCGGGCAGACGCAAACTCCCGAAACAGCATTGCAACTTGCCCCATTCAAACACTGACACCTCTGTGAACAATCCGGACCGAATGTACCATTCACACATTCTTCCTGGCACATCTCTCCCGTCCTGCCCATTCCACATGTGCATCGGCCAGTCACGTGATCACATTTTGATTGCGACTGGCAGAGGCATGCATTCTGACATTTGTGGCCGTAGAAACCCTCAGAACAGGCTTGAGAAAGAGAAGAGTTGCATACAGCACTAGTGCTAGAGTGTTAAAATGCGAAGAATGTTTACCTTGTTCGCATTTACTTCCAATCCAGCCATCTCTACAACTGCACATCCCTGAAACGTGATCACAAGTAGCTCCGTTGAGACAGTCGCAAATTTTGGTGCAGTTATCTCCATGGTAACCAACCGGACACGTTTCGTTGCAGTGCGGTCCAAGGAATCCCGGAGGACATCTGCAACTTCCGAAGTAAGGATGGCAGACGGAAGAGGGATGGCACCAACATTCGAATTCACATTTCGGCCCGAAAGTCTTTTCTGGGCAATCTGTAACGACATGAAAGTTATTTTAATTCACGATTTCATAAAAACAACCTTAATAAGAATGATGCCTGAGTGACCTCTCGTACATCGCTGCCCGCTGAAACCGTCCCTGCAGTAGCAGTCACCATTGACGTGGTCGCACTCTTCGTCGCTTCCACATCTGCACGGCCTGCTGCACTTCGGACCGAAGAAACCAACGCCACAAGCTTCGGTCGGGATCGTACGAATCAAATTAATTTGTATGTAACCGAGAAAATAGTTTGAATTAATTTGAAACATTCTCATAGCTACAATCACGGATTCCACAGCAACTAACGTAATTCACACTTGGTGCCCATATAGCCAGGATAACAACGATGGCAATGACCAGTTACGTGATGACAGTTCTGACCCCTTGGACACGAACAGCGTTCAGTACAATTGGGTCCGTACGTTCGTGGAGGACAAGCTAAAATGGAGAGTTGGTTGGTTGGTTGATTGGTTGGTTGGCTGGTTGGTTTGGTTGGTTGGTTGGTTGGCTGGTTGGTTGGTTGGCTGGTTGGTTTGGTTGGTTGGCTGGTTGGTTGGTTGGCTGGTTGGTTGGTTGGCTTTTCGCCGCTACTTGTGTCCAATCATGCTTCTTGAATGAAAAGTAATGAGAAACAAACGTTTGTCACAGTCATCGCCGAGCCATCCACTCTTGCATCTGCACTTCCCACTCGCTGCATGGCACGTTGAGTTGTTGGCACACGTGCATTTCTGCTTGCAGGCTTCTCCGTAATAACCGCCAGGACAAACTGTATGTGTGTGTGTATGTGTGTGTGTGTGTCTGTCTGTGTGCGTCTGTGGAGTTGTAAATTGTGGAATTCATGACGAAGGGCATCTAACCATCCTGGCAGCGAGGCCCAGTGAATCCAGCTTTGCACCTACAGAAGCCAGTCACGTGGTCACATGATGTTGTTGTTGATGACGACGATGATGACGTCATATTGATAGCATTCGCACCAACGCAATCGCAGCTACGCTGACAGTTCTGTCCATATTTGTTTGGAGGACAGGCTGCAGACGATGTTGTTGTTGGTGTGAAATAAATTAATAAATTTAATAATAACTGCAACTTGTGAATGACCCCATTTTCAACGATAGAGCAAATAATTAGAAACCATCGTTCAACATCTAACTTTTTTCGCAATTCACTCCAATGAAACCATCAGAACATTCGCACGTGCCAGTTTCAGGATGGCACCTTAAGGTACCACGTTCGTTACAGTTACATGGAGTCGAACAGTTAACGCCAAATTTATTTGGGGGACATTCTGTCATTAAAATATATAGTAATTTCGTAAATTCTATGATGGGTCAAATGAAAATTCAACAATATAAGATGAGAAAATTATGAAACCGACTTTGATGGCATCTGGCTCCAGTCCAACCAATCGCGCACAAGCATCGCCCGCTCACTGCATCGCATTGAGAAGGTTGGCTACACGTACATCTCTGCGTGTGGGTGTTTGGGCTGGCTCACAACAATTGTTGTAACAACGAGTGAGAAATGAGCGAACAAAAGTACAACCAACAACAACAACCCATCATGAACAACGAGAAGAAGAACCTCTCCACAGTTTTTGCCCCACATTCCAGCTGGACACACCTCTCGACAGCCGTCACCCCACCACCCCGGCGGACAGGAACAGTCCCCAGTCACGTGATCACAGGTGGCCCCATTGTAACACTGACAGAAATAGTTGCACCCCTCCCCAAAAAACCCCTTCGAACATTTGTCCTCGCAATGTTTGCCCTTGAATCCAGGTTTGCACTGACAGAAGCCATCACGAAGACTGCAGGATTTTGATTGGTTGACCACGCATTCGCATGTTTCTGAACAGCTGTGGCCGTACTTGTTCGGCGGACAGGCTGGATTGAAAATCGAAGTGATCGTCCGTTTCATCTTTCCAAACATACCTGAATAAATGCTAAAGAATTTCAAGATTTTTAAACCTTCATCGCACATCTCTCCTCTGTAACCAGGAGGACAGAAACAACTTCCGTTCACGTGATCACAGTGTCCTCCCACTCCGCCATCTTTGCCGCAACTGCATCTCTCGTAGCATCCATAACCATAGAAACCATCAGGACACTTCAGTTCACACGTGTCGCCTGTGTAGCCGCGATTGCAGATGCACGTTCCTGTCTGAGATGGAAAGAGGAGATAATGAGTGGGAGAGAGAGAGAAAGAGAGAGAGAGAGAGAGAAAACAAAAAATTGTATGATGGTTCAAACGAAAATAAGAGCGTGCATTCTTAATAGTTCTTGAAAGGTTATAAAGTTGACCAACCAGGGAGTGACACCCACGAGATTGTTCTGCATGACATTTGCAGAAGTAAGCACAATCAGTTCCCCAGTAGCCACTTTCACACTCGTCAGCACACGTGACCCCCTTACGACCCGGACCACATTCGCAATGACCTGTGACCTCATTACATGACCCACTTTTGCACTGGTAGGGACATTTCTGTTTGCAGTGAGGTCCGTAGTACCCTGCCATGAATGTCGAGGTTCGTTTTAACCGTCATCTTTCGAAGAAAATTTGAAAATAAAAATTCGTCTTCAATAAAATTTCAGCGTTCGACTGAACAAACTGACTGACCGGACGGGCATCCATGCTGGCATCTTTCTCCTCTGCGGTTGGGTGGGCACGTGCATGACCCATCCACGGAGTTGCACTTTCCGCCGTTCACACACCCGCACATGTACTGGCAGTCCGAGCCGTAGAAATTCTAACGAGAGAGGTGTCAAATAATAAGAGAAGCATTCGTGAATAACCGTAAATAAAATCACTACATGGAGCCACGAAAACAACAACAACAATGACGTCATCAAACCTGAGGGCAAGGATACTGACAGAGAATTCCAAACCAGCCAGGCGTGCAGAGGCAGGCGTTGAGCTGACCATTGCATCTGGCTCCATTCTCGCAAGATGACAAACAACTGAACTGGCAGTCTGGCCCAAAACGACCTCTCTCGCATTCTGTTGAGTTATATAGTTTTTATTTTGGAATTTAAAAAAATTAATTTTTCGTTTTTAATAGATTGAGTTGTTTTAAACTTCAGTTGAACGTTGAAATGAACCGTCGTTGGATCTGGTTTCAAATGAAAGTTTTGTTCATTTTCAATCAACGAAAACTTACCTGTGAAGGTTTCAATCTGTTGCATTGGCTCGGAAGTTGTGGCTAATGTGGTGGCGGAAGTTACCAGAGCCACGTTTTTGTGGTTGCTGTCGTAATGACGACGGTTGTTGTGGTCGTAATGATGGTGGTTGTGGCTGTTGTAGTTGTCGCCAATGTAGTTGTTCAGTAAATAATTGTTGTCATCGTTGTTGTTGGCTGTCGTTTGGATGTGAAGATTTTAATTTTTGTATTTCTATTGACAAAAGGTATTTCAAAGTGTTTTTGAATATTAAAAACACACACACACACATACACACACCGACCAACCTAAACAAGTTTTTCCGTCAGAATGTAATGCGTAGCCATGGGCACATAGGCAGTGATAGGAACCAAACGTGTTGACACAATAATGTTGGCATTTTGTTAGCTTATCATCATCGTCACACTCGTTTATGTCTGTGAGTGATAGCGTGTGTGTGTGCGTGTGTGTGTGCGTGTGTGTTTAGTGTAATTTGATTTGTATCTAAATATATACTTCATCAATCGTTTATTCGTCTATTAATTTATCTTACTGAATTAAGGCTTTTTTCATGCAATTATTTTTTCATTCGTTCGTTTGTTCGTTTATTTGTTCGTTCGTTCGTTCATCCATCAATCTACAAACCTTCACAACTCTTAGAATCGTCCATCAGTTTGTAGCCATCGTAACAGGAACAAACAACAACAGCTTCAAAACCATTATGAGTTTGCATGTTGTTGATGTTGTTGTTGATGATGACGTTGTTATTGTTGATGACGTCATTATTGTTGTTGGTGGTGGTGCACTTGTGGTGGCAACCGCCATTTCCGATTTGGCATGGGTTGTATTCTTTGTGTGTGTGTGTGTGTGTGTGTGCGTGTGTGTGTGTGTGTTTGATCGATGGTTTTCAATTAACAACAGCATCATCAGCAACAACAACATCAGCAACTGACCGGTACACGTCTTTCGATCACTGTTAAGATGGAATCCACTTTTACATGAGCAGACGAAACTTCCGTGCGTGTTGGTGCAGAGTTGCTGGCAGGGGTTGCTCCACGCTCTACATTCGTCAACGTCTATTCATAGTTTTTGGTTATCAGTTTTTACGTGATTTACAACTGTACTGCTAATCCATCTAATCTACCACTACTACTTCTACGACTGCTGCTACCACTACAACTACAACTTTTGCTGCTAGAATTACTGCTACTACTACTACTTCTTCTAATAATGATAATAATTGTTATAATTATAATTATTATCATAATTATAAGCCACCGTAGCAACGATGACCATCATGCTGTAGTCGGAAGCCAGTGAAGCAGCTGCAAAGGTAGCTGCCGAAAGTGTTGTGGCAGGCGTGCATGCATCCACCGTTTCTGCTCGCTGGATCAATACACTCGTTCACGTCTGTGTTTAAATAATAATTATAATTATTATAGTTATATTAATAATGATGAGTAATAATAATAATTAATAATAATAGATAATAATAATAATAGTGGCAGTACTGATCTACGTACCATGCTGGCACCTTTGTCCTGTAAATCCTCTCTTACAGTTGCATCTAATCTGCCTTCCGGTTACAACACATTTCCCGCCATTCTCACAAGCGTCGTCTTGACATCGATCTAAACTCGCGGGTACAAATATTCAAGTCAATAATAATAATAATTATTATTATTTTAATAATAATTATTATTATAATAATAATAATTATTATTATTATTATTATTCGTGTTATTGTAAATATTGATCCAATTGAGAGCAGTTGATATAATGCGTGATAGAGGCACGTCAATGATTCAAATAATAGAGCCAGAGTGATGGCGATACCACTACTACCACTACTACTACTATTGCTACTACTACTACTACTACTACTACTAATAATAATAATAATAGCAATGATGATGATGATGATGATGGCTATGATGACGAGGAAAAGTTTTACGAGCCCAGAATATAAAAGAAACAGCGCCGTTTGAGGGCGCAAATGCTGCAAAAACAATTGCGAATGATAATTAATCTTTATTCATTCATTCATTCATTCATTGGTTCATTCACTCATCCATTCACTCATTCATTCATTCATAGTGGATTCATCTATCAATTAATTAATTCATCACTTATTTCATTCGTTCATTTATCGACCTATCAATCCATCTATCTATTTATTCATTCATTCATTCTTTTATTCATCCATTCATTTTCATTCATTCAACTATACATCCTTTCTTCCTTCCATCCATCCATCTAAATATTTATATTTCCGGTTTGAGAAGTTTAAAGGTTACAATACAACTGTTGCTATTCGCGTGAAATGTTTTTGTTATTATTATTATTATTGTTCTTCTTCTTCTTTTTCTTATTTTTATTATTATTAGCGTTGTTGTCAGTTTCAAACTTAAAATGAACTTAAACCAGGCAATAACTCAACTCTAACTGCAAAAATGTCAATACGAATTCACAAACAACAACAACATCAACAAAAACAACATCAACAACAACAACATCAACAACAATAGCAACAACAATAATAACCAAAGATCGAAAATAAGACATCACCTATGTATCGTCGTTTTCTCAATTAGTAACGCGGTGTATGTTGTTATGAAGTTTTTTAATGATTGTAAACAATAACAATTGTTCAGTTAATAACAAAGTGATGATGATGATGATGATGTTTGCGTTGATGATGGTGGTGGTGATAATGATGATAACAATGATGATGATAACGATGGTGATGATACTACTACTTTTAATACCGAAACAGTAGGAAAACCGAAAGATGATGTTGAAAAATATCTCAACTTTGATCATAGTAATAGTAGCATCAACAACAACAACATCAGCAGCAACAACAACAGCAACATCGAAACCAACCAGGGAGAGGGCAAAGAATACGGCCCAACGCCTTCCGATCAATCCAGTCCCCACAGCAATTGCTTTTCGACGTCAGTACGTTGTATTCGTACACTCTGTAAGTTTGTGTGTGTGTCTGTGTGTGTGTGTGTCTGTGTGTGTGTATGTGTGTACAAACTTCTTTCTCCTAGCAGCAAGACATAATCTCCAGTGCCTAGCGCAATTCGGATTCCAAATTTTCAAGAAATGTGTTCTGTATAGTTGTTGTTGATTACATACAGACGGACAGACAGACAGACAGACAGACATTCATTCATGCATACATACATATAAATGTTTGTACGAAATCTCTAAAGTTTATATTTCGCTGCTATTGTTGTTTTTATTATTATTACGAGAGGCCCAAGCAAACGTTTTAGCGCCAGTTAACGTTGAAGGGTTCTATGAGTTATAGCCTGTTTAGTATATCTACACATACGTTACGATGATCAAGATGACGATGATGATGAAGATGACAAAGATGATGAAGATGAAGAAAATGGTGACGATGAAGAAGATGAAGACGACGATGAAAATGATGACTTGTAGTGATAATAATTGAAATGCCAAAAGTCGTACTTACGCTTTCCTGTTGAATTTTGACAAACCATAGCGAGGATCATCACCATAACCGCCTTCATCTCTCTCGTCATCATCATCATCACCAACTTTATCTATGTAGTCATCATCATTGTCGTCGTCGTCAACTTCATTATCAGCATCAGAGTTGTTAAAATCATAATCGTTATCAGCGTCATTCAAATTATTATTATAAATATAATTACTATAATTATTATTACTATAATTATTATTGTTGTTATTATTATTATATTTTATGTTGTTGCTGTTGCTGCTTACGTGATTGTTTTTGTTGTTGAAGTTGGAATGGCGTTTTGACATGCTACTAAAAATTTTTATCTTTTCGCCAGCATTTCTTTTGTGATTGTCGTTGTTGTTGTTGTATTTGTAAATTTCATTATTGTTGTTGTTGTTTATGATGTTGTTGATCCGAAAATGTGATTTGTTAGAACGCTTTTGTTGAAGACGATGTTGTCGTTGTTGTTGTTGACGATGAAGAAGAAGAAACTCTTTTAGTTTACTACTACGTGACGTTGTTGTTGCTGTTGCTGATGAAGTCGCTGCAGGTGTCTCATCATCAACTCGCCATTGAATACGTTTGATGTTGTTGTTGATGTTTTTGTTGCTGTTGTTGTTGATGTTTTTGTTGCTGTTGTTGTTGATGTTTTCGTATCTTCCAAGCGATTGACCAAGCATCAACAACATCAACATCACCACCACCACCAACAACAACAACATAGAAGACATCATCGTCCTATTGACATTAACTAAAATTATTTACATAAATTATTATTCATCTAGCCAATAAAACAACAATTGTTTATTTATTTAGTTATAAACATCTCACAACCATAATTAGCAATAATAAAATTATAGTTTCGAAGTTAGTTATGTATCATGATAATATGTATAATATTATGTATCATGTTATTATGTATCATATCATGTATCATACTATCATGTATCATATTATTAAAGATATTCCTGCATATTACTATGTGGTGCTAATGATCACTGTTAATTACCATTTATTAGTATTCAAAAAAATCTTCACACAGCATTTGCTTCTCTAGTACACTGGATGTTTATACTTATAAAACATTTGTCTATTGCTGCATGTATGTGTGTGTGAATGTGTGTGTGTGTGTGAGAATGTGTGTGTGTGAGAATGTGTGTGTGTGTGTACGTATATCTATGCATCTTAATGAAAGCAGTTTGTATGATGGATTGAAAATAATTTTTTTGGCTGAATGAGCTCTCACATTCGCTTGACCGACGATTAATTAATTAATTAATTAATAGACGTTTGATTGAATTATAAAGCCAAACTAACAAACACAAAATTATAAACTGACAGAAGTTTTCTTCAAAAAAATACGGAACATGTTGAAGCGGAGGGTGCTGTTACGGTACTTGCTGTTACATTTTACGATGAACTTTACATTACAATTGCCAGACCTGTCCTCGTTTCATCTCCTCGATGCTATATTTATTTAATTTCTAATTTGTTCAACTGCTTGTGTGGGTTGTATGAAAATCGATTTTGTTTCATTGCCAATGTCTTGATAGAGAGATAGAAAGAGAGAGAGAGAGGGACAGAGAGAGAGAGAGAGAGAGAGAGAGAGGGACAAAGAGAGAGAGAGAGGGAGGGAGGGAGGGAGAGAGGGAGGGAGAGAAAGAATTGATCTGCCCCTTGACGAAAGTTTGATTTATAAAGAAGATGTCACCTGATCAACTTGATGCGATGATGTCTGTTTACACTGGCTCGTTATATTTACATTTATTTATATATATATTTACAACTTCTCTTTGTTTAACTTTGTTTGAGGTTCTGTTAAACTTTATAAAAAGAGCTAACGGTACGGCCGGAAGTTTTCTGTAACGTTGGTGGTACTCAGTCGATCCAGTTTAATTGTTGGGTTCGTAGTTGCGGCCCCCCTTTTTTTTGCTTCGTACCGTCATGGAAACTGCTTCAAAGAAAGAAATTTTGTGGAATTTATCATAACTGCCGTAGTAATTATTGAGAAAGATTTAATGTAAATGATTTTTTCCAAGTTTTTCGATCATTCCAGAAAGATGAAAGCAATCACTTCTGCCCCCACAGCATTTTTAAAAAATTTATTTCATTATAATTTGCATCATCGAGGTTTATTGGTGACGTCATCATTCCAAAACAACTTTAACTTCTGCTTTCTGTTATCCAAAGATAACAAAACATTCCAACGAATAATTAATAAAACAAGTGCAGGCAACTCAATCAACTTTACAAGCTCTACAACTATCGCCGATTACAACAAAAACAATATCAACAACGACAAAAACAACAAACTCACCAAAGATTCTAAATATGAGAGTCTTGACCGGAAGTACCCAGTGCCGAACTTCCGGAACACGGAGGCCATCTACCGCGGAAAATCAAACTCTGAATTGTTGAGGACGATGTTGGTGTTTGGCTTGTGCTCCATTGACTATCTCGTTGACAATCAAACGAAGGTTGCAACGATGGTGATGATGATCGTGATAACGATGATGATGATAATGATGATGGCTGTGATGGTGATGATGATCGCGATAATTGTGACCATGACGAATGTGACGACAACGACGCTCCAGACACTCGCAACAGCCATTGCACTCAATTATAAGCCACATTTCACAAACACCTTACGACCAGATCTTGAAACTTACACGGAACATTTTCGGCAAGAAATTATTTGCTCTTCTGATGGAGTGGACATTTTTTGGGCAGTTCATGGTAAGAGAGGAGGAAGGAAAAATTTTGGAGGGGCTCAGGAAACTGAACGAGAGAGGAATCTCCCCGATGTTGGCCTATACCGCACCCGAGTTGCATGGATCAGTTGATGGCGATGGGTTAGTGAAGATGGCGATGTTGTTATTGATGATGTTGTTGTTGCTGCTGCTAAACAATAATGAACACCATCCTCATCATCTTCATCATACCAGAGCATCTAACGAACCAGCAAAAGAGCAGTGGTACTTGAATAACTTCAACTCCGTACTTAAGAGTTTCCATATAGCTGCAAAGTGCTATTGTGAGTGCACTCGTAATCATCACCACCACCATCGTCATCATATCAATGGACGAAATTATATAATTATTATAACATAATTAACTATAATTAATAAATAATATAATTATTAGAGTTTATTTTGGTTTCATTGGCAGCTTTCACGAAAACGCGGCCTATCATTACGACCAAAGTGACGTTCTTCGTCGATCACTCACTGCTGGTCAGTCGTTCTTTTGTTTCATCATCACTATCATCATCATCATCATCATTAACATCATCATCATCATCATTAACATCATTATCATCACCATTAACATCATATTCTTCCTCTTCATAATTGCCATTGTCATTAGAGTTTATCAATATGCTTCGACTTCCTTCTTATAATAAATACCATCATCGTATGCTTGCTCTTCATCATCATCATCGTCGTCTTCATCTTCATGGCAATCACTATCACAATCATTACGACCACGAGAAACACAAGCATGCAACTACAAAACTCACCTCTGACTGACAGAGGCTACTGAGCTCCGTCATCCAACAGCAGAATGCACTCCTACTTCACAACAACCAACTCGTCGACAGTTTCATTTCAAAAAATCCTACATGGAATACAAGGTTAATTTTGTAACAGTAAAAACTGAATGAATGAATGAATGAATGAATGAATGAATAAACAGAAGTAAGGAAAGCTTAAAAAATGACCTAATTTTCCATGTGGAGCTGAATAAAATGATTCACTCTGAGAGATACGAAAACCATAGTCCGACGAAAGAGAATGAAGATGTCGTAAAACTGCAAGATGCTCACTTGAATCTTTTTGAAAAACTTCGCGGAAGGATGGACAAGCTTTGTTTGGTGAGCTATTTACCACCACAATAATATAACATTAACACTCACACACACGCAAATACACACACACACAAATACGCACACTCATACAGACAGCCCAACAAACCAATCTCTCGCTAAATTTCGACGCCGAGCAAACCTACCTGCAAACGGCCATAGAGATGCTGTGCATACACTTCCAGAGATTGTACAACGAGTGCGCGCCTGTTGTACTCAACACCTACCAGTGCTACTTGAAGGTGGCTCCTTCATTTAGAACGCAACAGAGATTATTTATTTATTAATTAATTAATTCTATAAACAAGCGCACTGGTGACGTCATAGAGAATCACGTGACTCTCGCGAAACAAGATGGCTTCTGTTTTGGCGGGAAAATTGTAAGGGGGGCCTACATTGACGAGGTTAGTGTTAGGGAAAGAAAAAACGAGCTGAATTGATTTGAGAACACGAAAAACAACCCACAACAACAGGAGCGCCGGCTGGCAAAGGAGAAGCAAACAGTCGACCCGGTGAACCCGACGTACGCTGCCACCACCTCCATGTATCAGAGGGTTAGCGAGTTTTTAATAAACCAGGTCAAGTGTCAAGGTGAAGGTCGAATGAGGGTCATATTTGCTACTCACAATGAAGACAGCGTCACAGACGTTCTTAACAGGTCGGTGGATCAGTCACATTTCTCAATTAACATAACTCCTCTTCGTTTATGATGAAATGAATGTTTGAAATAACCGCAGGCTTCGTGAGAAGGAGATCAACATGGATGTTGGTGATGTTTCATTCGCACAACTCTATGGAACGAGGGATTTCATCTCTTATACACTAGGTTGCTTGCTTGTTAGCGGGGAAACAACCGTTGGAAATACAAATTATTTCATAATCATGTAACATGTAACAAAATAAACATTGAAAATTAACGGTAAAATGAATGATAATAACGCCAGGATCGCTGGGCTACCCGGTATCAAAGATGGTTCACTACTCCAATCCAGTAGACGGTCTGGCCTACCTCTCCAGGCGCTTGACTGAGAACAGGTCTGGTCTGGCGAGTCCTGAGATTGAAAGGAGACTGCCGGTCGTCGAGTTGAAGAGGAGATTATTTGAAAGAAGAAAAAACATTTGATACCGATCTATTAATTTAATCATAATAATTTATTAATATTTGTCGTTTTTTGTTCATTAAAACGAAATAAAAATTTTATACTGCAATTTAAATAAATATGAGATGGCTTTTTGATTAATAGAATTATCTCTCTAAATTGTTCGAGAAGCTTCTGAAAAGGTTTTATGCTGGCATACAGTGGTACATTTAGATCCAAAGCACGTGCTACACTTCAATCAGTAAATCAGTAGAGGCTTAATGTGACGTCACGCGTTACTCATATAAAATGCTTGAAAATTATTCTAAATTAACAACAAATAAATCTATTACATTTTATTATTTCAATCACGTTAACAATACATGCATTGATGTCAAAACAGCAAATTAACTACAATTTTGCCCAGGAAAAAGTTAATACAGTGGCTTACTGAGATTGAACTATAGTCACATTGTTTTTACTTATTCGAGCTTTTATTGTTTTTTTAATAAAATAAACGGCGTAAACAAATTAAAATTTTTATTTTTACAGCTATCATCAGTATGTTCAATAAATATTTTACATCCTGGTGCTCATAGAAATCACACGTTGGCTCACTGCAAAGGCCATCCGGGTCCTTTGAAATCTATGGTTGCGGTAACTTGTGCGCATATAATGCTTTTAATAAATCAACAGAGTTAATAAATAGTCATGGATATCCATGTATATGGTATATGCAATACTCATCGTGTAATTCAGAGTATGTCATTAATGATCTCGCTTGGTAGAATTATATTGAACAACATGCAATTTCATAAGTAAGCCAATAAGCCAATAATTCAAGGAAGCCGAATAGCTCAATCCATGTCATTTTGCATGTCTTGTTTTGTTTTGTCGTGCAGGGTTTAGCTAGTTTGTGTAGTTCGGAATCGTTTATTTTGCAAAAATAATTAAATGGTTTCAATGAACGAAAGTGAGTTTGAGAAGCAGGACAAGTTGAGATCTGTGTGGAATGTCGACATGCAGGTCAGTCTCTTCCACGCAATGAGGGACCACAAGCCCGTCGGTTAGGAAAGAAAGATTAGAACTGCACACACACACACCACCACCACCATTTTCATAGATAAATAAATCAATTTGACATTATTTTAATTTTTTTATCATATCAAAACAGGTGTTAATCGACACTTCCAGATGCTTTTCATTCATGACAAAATAAACAATACAAATAATCCCAAAGTGGCCAACAAAGACGTCTGGGACTATCTAGGAACTCTCTATGATATTAATGCCCTGGTGGTAATATTTTTAATTTAAATAATAAAATAAGTTTTTTTGATCTGATTAGCAATGAATAAATACATTTTTTTAAATATTTAGTCTGATTCAAGGTTAAGTAGAAACTTAAAAGATCAGAGCAATTTGTTGTAATATTTCTAATCAAATTTTTGTTTTCTTTCAGAATGACTCAGAGAGGATACCAACTTTATCAAAAGAAGTTGACTTTGAGCTGCCAACAACATCTGACAACAACTTGAAGGATCTTATAAATCTTGACTTTCCAAGACTGGGTGCCACAATGTCTTGTCTGCTGACATCTTCATCCTCATCATCGTTGTCATCATCTTTCTTAGCAGATGCCCACAACCTCGATTCAAAAAAATTTGATGTTGAATCTAACAGCTCAAATGTTGATATAACCTCCACAGCCATCAATAACATAACTAATCCGTCTTCTACTAGTAATTCCACTGAGACTAATCCAAAGACCAAAGCAGACAGTCGCAAAAGAACAAGACAGAGCAACCCGGGTAACAACAACAACAGCATTTGTGAAGTACCCCAGGCTAAAAGGAACCGGAGAATTTAATTTGATACTTATCTTGTCATCATTATTATTAATTTTCATTACATTTTTAGTTCATGTGGTTGTATGATAAATGAAGAAATGATCCTTAGCATGCTTTTTGTGTTATATTCAGAGTTAAAATTTGTATTGTGTTATTTTAACTTCGATTATTTAGAAGGCTTTCGCGTGGCGTAATAATGCGTTATAAGTGCCTATGTAATGAAAACAAGTTCGCGCTGTTAAATTTTTTAAGAACCTGGTTCATCTCTAAAGTAGGTAGCATTAAAGACACCTGGATAAAAGTGAACTTTTACAAGAAAAAGCTAGCAAACCCTGTTCAAATTCAATAATAGCATAGTTTTTAATTCTTTATTTTTTTCGTATTTTTGGTCATCTCATGATTCGAGTTGCTTAAAAGCAGAAAACTGGATTGTCTCTGCTGTTTCAAAGTTTGTTTCGCGCCAAGGAAACGCCACAGCAAGTACCAGCCAAGTCTGTAAAAGTGTAAATGTAAATTTGTGAAAAAAAATGTATTGTATTATTGCAATATCATGTTTGGAGTCATTTGTGTTGTGGTGTGATTTCGTTTAGGTTAGGATGAAAATGATTGAATACATACATATGGTGCAGTGTCGTAATGTAGTAGTGTTTGAACTTTGAATTGAATGATTCTTGCATTTTTTATAATTAATTAATTGATCGATAATAATTTGTTTGTATTCTGTAAGTTTTTGTGATATTTTAAGCAAATTTTCAAACATTTCATAACAAATGTCAAATATAGATGATGTATCAAAGGTAAATTATGAAAGGAAAAAGACAAATAAGAAGGATAATGATGATCGACAGTGGGGGACGGTTGAAACTGGGCTTGAAGAAAGAGAAGAAGGACAGGAAATAAGTGGTAGAAAAGATTCAATGGCATCATCAACAAATTTTAATGATGCATGCATAACAAATGGTTCTAATATGTACCCCCATCTGCTACCTTCTTCTTCCCGGGTTTGATGTTTGATTAATAATAATAATATAATTATTAATATTATTTTTAATTATTTTTTGACAATTATTATTTCTATAGTACATAATAATTTTTGTAATTGATTGTAATCAATCATATCTTTAGAACAATTTTACAAAAGGAAATTTGACCATCATATGGCTCATAGACTTGATTTCAAAATTAATATGACTCATAATATTGTAATAATTATATTAAATATTGATGAGATATTATTTTTATATTTTATTTGTGGAATATTATTTTCAGACACTTCCATTTTCATCTTCATCCTTAAAAAAGAAGACTGAAATGTTTTACATTGATGACTCAAAATGTATGTATTGTGATAGCTTTCATTTGTTTTTTTCCAAATTTTGATACAATACCAATAACTAATTAATAATAATTAATTGATTAATTATTAATTGATTATATTATTTATCTAATATTTTATTAAATAATACTAAAAATTTTAACTCACTGCAAAAAGCCCTGACAAGTTTTAGCAATCCTGGCTTTGATTTGAGCCTCAGTTTAAAAGAAGAAGATGACGTCAAAGCTGATGACATAATTAATAATAATGATGATAATGAGGGTGATAATAAACGTCAGACTATTAAGTATGTGACATCTTTTAAGAGCAGCGACAGAAATAACATGACTGAATGTAGACGAAGTGTTAGAGATGATTGTTTAAATACTGGTGAAAAAAGTATCAACAACAAAAACGTAACATTGACAGCCCCAAGGACATTGACGACAACAAACTTTACATCAGTGACGACATTCACAACGACACCAGTAACAACAAATAGGCCCTTCATATCATGTATCAATCATCATCTCGATTGTGGCTGTTCTTTCAAAAGCAAAAAAAATATTTGTAACAATAATAATGGTAACGACAATGAGGATGGTAAAAACCACGACGATAATAAAGGAATAGTGAACTTATCCTTGTTATTAAGCGATGATGTTGATAATGCTTCCAGACGGTCGTCATCCTCTGTTGAAAGAAGCGGGGTTAGTTAGTGAGTTAGTTAGTATATGCGTGGATTGATGGATGACTGATAGAATATCAGATGGATGGATGAATTGTGGAGGAAAATTTAATGAGTAAATATAATCCAATTTATGACAAAAGTTTTTATGTTTGATGAAAAAAATATAACTTCTATCTACGCCATTTCAAATACACCAGGTAAGCAGTATTTCAACATTTCAAAGAAGTTACGAGCTAGATAAATCACTGGCCAATGTTATAGCGCTTCACAGAAGTTTTGAGTCAAGTCCGTACCCCAGACCGTTTTTAAGTAGAATGCAATCAAATGATGTTGGCTCTATGGAGAATATTGACATTGTTTTTCAACAGAGGACAGCTTTGTGATATTTTTTGCAGTCTTTCGTTATTTTTTGTAGTTTTCTGTATAGTGACTTAGTTTATTAACTCTATGACCAAGAAATTACTATGTTAATTTGTATATTTCATAAATTTTTACTTAATTTATTTTGAATTTCTAAATGCTTTTTGCCTTAAATCAAAAAAATATTGTGATTGCATTCTGTAGGTGTGATATATTTCTGGTACGTATTCTATGTTACTGCATCCAAGAAAAGTTGTGTTGCATATTCAAGTACTGCTATGTGCGTATGGGCGAATATTTTTGTATTTAACTTTGCATTGTGTATTTTAATTTTTCATTTAGTATTTTTAACATCCATTTAAAATCAAGTCAATATTGTTACTCCAGAAATTATTTCTTTTTTGAAGGATTTTTTTTGTAAATAAGTGTGCCCTAGAAGTGTAATTATTTATTCGTTCGTTCGTTCGTTCATTCATTCATTCATCTATTTATTCACTCACTCATTCGTGTATTCGTTTTCATGTATTATCCAGTTAAGTTGAAGATAAGAAATTGTAAGGAAGGAATTGTATTTTTTTTCTGCGTTTCGCTAGTTTTATACTTTCTGTTTCATTCCTTCCACACTTCTAGTGATGACGACGACGACGACATTATGTTGATGATGATTGAATAACAATGACGTAATTTCCGATTTTTATTCTAACAAATGTATTGTATATATTTGCATTTTTATTTGTATGCCTAATCAATTGTATCAGTATTTTGAATCTAGAGTGAGTGTTCTTTAAAAGAGATAGATAAAGAGAAAGAGAGAGAAAAGGGATTAAAATATGTTCATTCATATCAAATATTTATATTTTAATAATTTTTCATCGGTCAAATAAAGCATACTGTTATCAGCCAATCAAATTTAAAATCATAATAATTTTTTCTTTGATTAACGTTTTGTATTTACTTATTTAATTTATCCTTTTTGGTTTTCGAATTAATTTATTGATTCTATTGTAATATACTGTATATTGTAATGGTTGTGTCTTATGTGAGGTTTCTGACTATTTAAACACGAAATTAATATTTTTCACACACGTGTAAATAAATAACTTCAAAATAGCTTCAAATTTCATAATTAATAATTAACATACCATTTATATATAATAAATATACACCACGTGTGTTCAGCGTCAATATTTACAGCAAATTAAGCAAAGTCTGATGAAAACATATAAAAAGAAGAATTAAACAAGCAGTGCACAAAGGTGTACGGCAGTTATGTATGTAAGTTTCAGAATGTCGAAGCAACAAGTCATGTTAGAGTTTCGTAGCAACTCCTTTTCCTGGCATCGCTGTATGCGAATAATTCTACACTCTCTCTTTCAGTATCGCCGATGAAACAAAACTTGACGGCCAGTTCCTTGGCCGGTGCATCTGTCGGTTCGTCGATTCTGCCGGAAATCAATTCTTCGATACTTTCCAGGCTCTTCGATTTCGTTTCAGGAACGATGAAGTAGGCGTAGAAAGCTCCAGCTATGCAATCGACTGCAAACAAACAAAATGTACCCGACTCGCCGAGAGCGGAGACGAGAGGATGGAAAAATAATATCGTCAGTGAACCGGCAAGTAATCCGATGAATGTCGAAGCACTCGATGCCACGGCTCTTATCGTCTGAGGGTACATCTCTGATAATATGATGGATGGAACGGTGCCCCATCCAAAACTGTAGCAGGCCAGGTAGCAACAAATTCCAGCAAAGAGTAGACCGGTCGAGACGGGATTCAAGACGATGATTGGTGCTACTGCTAAGGATGACTCGTTCAATAAAGATGACGAGTTCATAAAGTTTGTCACGTTCAAACCAGTTTCTGCCAACGATGCACTGCTGTTCATTTTTGCGATGTAGAAAGCGCATCCCATGGCAATCAAACTTACGGCCTGACCCACGCCTCCAACCATCAGCAACATCCTTCGTCCCAATCTGTCAACACTCACACTGGCAATGGCTGTTGTGACGATCCTCAGACAGCCGACATACACTGAAGCGTACTCCGCCGATCTGTCTTCCATGTTTGAAAGCTTAAAGATGGACTTCATGAAAGCGATGACTGCTGTCTGACCGCACAATCCTTGCAGAAACATCATCGGCAGGCAGATGATGAGTTGACGCTGCACACGCTTCAACTTTTTAAGAAGGATGCTGGTGTGTACGAAAATGTTACATTGCTTCGTAGATGTCGCCCGTTTCAGTGGCGTTGTTGAATGAGCTGAGGATTTGAAAGAGTCCGTTCTGCTCTTCGGGGCAACTTCAATTTCAGATTCAGATGACAGAGATACTGTGGAGAAAGATGATTGTGATGACAATGACGACGACGATGGGGAAGGCTTTATTTCTTCCTTTTTCTCGTTTTGTTTCACTTCTTGTTTTTTCTGAAGCTCGTTTTCTTGCTCTGTCTCTTTTTTCTTCTGCTGAATTTCCAAACATTCCAATCGAATTTTTTCGTTGAATTTTTGAACCTCATTGTGCTGAAATTAAAATTAAAAAATGTTTCATTAATTTACTTATAAAAAAATTCCACGAATTTAATACATATAATTAGCATAACTGCGATTACATTACAGCAATTAATTTAATTAAAAGAAAAACTAAAACAAACCCTGGCAACAATTTCATTTATTTCACCGTTGATATCAGCTTCAGATTCTCTTTCACGTAACAATGCTAGAACTCTAAAGGCCTCTTTCAAATACCCCTTTCCAACCAGCCAGCGTGGAGTTTCATTTTGGAAGAACATTCCAATCATGAGAAGCAGGGTCAATGCAGCCCCTACCAAAGCCAGGTATCTGTTGTTCAAGTAGATTCCGAAGAAGTAGGCTGCCGTCGTGCCCATAGATATACACAGCTCGCAGACGGCACACATCATACCACGGCGTCTCCTGTCCACTGTCTCTGCAATATAGGTTCCGTAGGCTGAAAATACCATCGCACTGCCGACGCCAGTTAAGAACCTACTCGTCATAACGGCTAGCCAGTAATCACCGAATATTGCGATTAGCAGCCAGCCAAGTGCTTGAGGAATTGCACATCCAAATAAAACATCCTTCCTTCCCCACTTGTCCATCGCTGGTCCTGCAATTAAACATCCAACCATCCCACCAAAACTAACCAAACTGCCATACAACGATACGTCCCCACTTGCCACATTTAAAATTCTATCGTTTACAAATTTCGTTACACTTGGAGATGTAAAACCAGTAGAAAAACCACGACTCAACGGAGCAAACAACGCTCCGATCACCAAAAAAGTTTCTGCCCATGTTGGTTTATATGCCTCAAGTGAACACCGCTTTTTCTCCTCTTTCTTTTCCTCACTCTGAAACGTTTTCTTAACCTCAACTTTCTTCTTTTTCTCTACCGACTCTACTGTTTTTTCTTCAGATGCTTTCGCCGCTAGATATTCCATCTCCAGCTCAGCGATTATATCATCATCTGATTCTGGCTTCATGACTGAAACCGATGCGGAAAGGTTGAGTGACGTTGAGCTTCCCCCGAAGTTCGTTGAGGTTAATCTCGGATGGGGTGCCGAATACTTCACACAGTGGATCTACACCAAGTTAAAACAAATGTCAAGATATTAGAGCCGCTTCGTTAGATCATTCGATAAGAGTTAACAAGATTTAAAAAAAATTGAATTATATCGCAATAAAAGTTAAAATTACAATAAAATTATTATGAAAATAAGTAGAAAAATCATTATTACCGGCAGGAGATTTGTCTTGTCACTAAATACGACCTCCGCCTTGCATTCTTCATCATTCATTTTTCTTGCTTCTTTACTGGACATGCTGGACATATCGAATAAATCCCAGGAAACTAGTAACTAATTCAGCCAAAAACAAATTAAACTGTTGAATAATTTTTCAATAATAGATACCTAACTTTTTGAGAACCAAGATTTAAACCGTCAACTGCTCCAGATCTCATATATATATAGGGACGAAGGAATCAATTAGGTCAAAGTTTGTCACGGGTTAATCAATAAAATGAATCTACTTCTATGTTGAATCCGTTTACGATCATCTTAATTAGCATTATTAATGCGTTTCTCAGTTCGCTTACTGGACAGTAATTTCAATGACCGCTTGTAACAATGAAGACCTTTGCAATGAAATAACGATCATAAAAAATAAAACTGTGGTATATCAATTAGTAATATTATTATTCTTATTATTCATTATTATTATTATTATTATTATAACCATTATTATTATTATCACCGCATTCTTAATTAAGTAAAGTTCAAAGATGACGGTCAGAAGGTATTCATGAATTTTCAATTTTTATTTTGTCTAATTATGCATAAGTGCACACACATGTGTGTATGTGTGTGTGTGTGTGAGTTCCTGTGTGTGTATGTGTGTGCTTGTGTGTGTGTGTGTAAATTCATCATTGATAGTATGCGTAGTACCACAAGATAAACCGCAAATAAATTTTTCAGATAAAACATAAAACATATCAACTGGACAAATTATTAATAACAAACCCAACGATCCCTAACATCATAGTACCTTAATATAAAATTACACAATAAGCCAACAAATTATACAAGAAAAACATTTAGAAATAACTTCAGAAGAGCGATCTAGGTTAATTTTTTCATTACAAAAGTTTGAAAAAATAGAAAACTACAAGAACAAAAACAGGCTTTTAAACCATCATGTGCTATTGAAATGCAGTTTTATGTAAGTAAATGCTTCAAAAAATGTTCAACGAATGAATGAAAGATTCATTCGTTCAGTCAATCAGTCAATCAATCAATCAGTCAGTCAATCAGTCAATCAATCAGTCAATCAATCAGTCAATCAATCAGTCAATCAATCAGTCAATCAATCAGTCAATCAATCAGTCAATCAATCAGTCAGTCAATCAATCAATCAATCAATCAATCAATCAATCAATCAATCAATCAATCAATCAATCAATCAATCAATCAATCAATCAATCAATCAATCAATCAATCAATCAATCAATCAATCAATCAATCAATCAATCAATCAATCAATCAATCAATCAATCAATCAATCAATCAATCAATCAGTCAATTAACAAAGAAAAGAGTCATGAATAAATGAACGAATAAACAATACAATCACTCAGTCAAACGACCAATCTCATGAAGGTTTTAATAGTATTTTTGCGTCGAAAGAACGAACTCCCACGAAAAGCACTTTTTGAATACACGTCTACAGCACTAACACAAATACGATTACACACACACACACACACACACACACACACACACACACACACACACACACACACACACACACACACACACACACACACACACACACACACACACACTTACAAACACACACAAAACTACAGTAATAAATACATTAAAAACAGTTACATTAACAGCAAATAATATAAAAAATTCAAAACTATCGAATACCTAATCGTATTATATATGAAGGGTAACAAACAAAACAAAACATGAATGCACAATCACGTACTTGCATACACACATACATAAATACACACTTGTATAGAAACACAAAAACACGTATAATGTCAGCAAAATGGGATCAAAACAGTTAAAAAATAACATTTTTTTTATACAAAAGTTTAAAAATTCAAAAAAACTCCTTTTAACAACTTTAATAGCAGAAAATTGAAAATGCAAAAAATACTTCAGCACAATTATTAAGCAGTAAAGTTCAGGCAAAAAACTGTTAACCAGCAAGCGTATGTATGTATGTGTTTGTGTGAATGTATGTGTGTGTGTATATGTTTGTGTGTGAATGTACGAATGAATGTATGTAGAAGTGTGACGTATATATCAATTCTAAACATTTTTACAGTATTGACACATACATATTAATTGCAAAACACAGTGAAATGGCAATAGCATGATATGCAAGTGTAAAAAAGTTATAAAACGAACAATAAATATGAGTAGCCCTGTTCATTCATTCATTCATTCATTCATTCATTCATTCATTCATTCATTCATTCGACCATTGATCATGAATTTTCATCATTAATTTTGTTATTTAACCAGTTAAAATTATGTTTTATAAAGATCTGCTCTGTGAACTCATGAACAATTGATGCCTAGTTAAGTTAGCTTAAGAAAATAATTATTCTACAATACAATACAATACAATGTTATGCAATGTAATAAATATTATGTAAAAAACTTTCAATGAACCAGTGGAAAGATCATTATCAACATCAACAACATCATCATTACCACCACTCCCGACAACATCATCATCATCTTCATCACCATCATCACTCAACATCCTCCATGAAACTGGTGTCCCAGTGGAGAATGAGCAGGCGAACGAAGCTCATCTCCCTCTTGGCCTGGTCAAGGACTGTTCTCGAATCGATGACCTTTGACCTCAAGAGGTTTGGTGCCATGACCATGGCGAGATTGTTGGCGTCCATCTTGGTGTGGGCCACCGTGCTGGGAGCGGCAAAAACTTGCAGGAACCTGATGACGTAAGCCAGCACTAACTTGTTATCATCGGGTAGGAGGTTGCTGTCGTTTGAGACGATGCAGATGGCGTCGTTGACGTCCTCAGAAGCTTTCGAGCACCTGGGATAGACGTCGTAAGGAATGAGTGGCTCGTGAAGCTGCCTCAACCACAACTTCAGCAGCGAGGCAGGCACGGAGGCGTCAAATCTGTAGATGCCATCTTCCGGGAATTTCCAGTTTTCACACATTTCAGCTTTCAATCTGTTCACCTCGTCTATGTCTCCAGGGATTCTGAAATGTTGGAGGTGAAGGTCAGTTGATACTTCATCATTGCCAACATCATCATCTTCATCATCATCCCCATCGCCCCAACTACCTAAATATTCCTTCCATCTTCGTCCCATTCATCTTGAGGACCGCCTCGGCCAGTGACGTAAGTATCCATGGCAACCTTTTCTGCGGGAACTTTGACTTTTGAACCTGCATGACCTCCTCGAGCAAGCTTCCAAACAGTGGCGCTACATAGATGCTGTCCTGCAAGTTGTTTCATTTCATTAGATGAATGCAACCATCCGTAATAACATACTCTTATAAGTCCAAAGTAACATCAGCCTTTATGAACTGACTCAAAGCAGAAAGCACAGATCAAACGATCAGATAAATTCAGAAAAGTACAAAAAAAGAACTATAGTAAACTGACCCTGGCGACATCAAACTCGAGGATGGTCGGCTTGCACAGACCTCTCTTCGCCCCCGAATACATGGCCGTTTCGAATCTTCGTGGTAGCTGCTTCAAGCAACTGGCAATCTATTTAGCAAGTAAGTGAAGGTGTAATTATGCATAATTTTAAACTGACGTCGAAGGAAATATGAACCATAAAGTGAAATAAAGTGAAAAAACCCCACTAAGGAAAAACCCTACAACCACACCCCCATCTCTATAATTACTTCAGGGTGATCGAGGCTCTTCAAAATCTGCCCGGCTTCAGTTATTCGCTGCTTGAGGTATGGCGAGAGAAATGTTGGTGGGAAGAATGGCAGGCAGATGCAGAGCAGTTCCAATCCTCTATGCAAACTGTCACTACAAAAGTGTTGTGTGTGCGTGTGTGGGTGTGTGTGTGGGTGTTCTGTGAGTACGCCAGTGTTTGCTAAAATTTGTGTGTATGTATGTGTATGTGTGTGTGAGTGTGAATGATGGTATATGTGTGTGTATGTGTTAAAAAAGATCGGAGTTAACAAGATGAGTAACATGGCTGGCAAGAAAATATTTAAAAGAAGAAAGAAAGATCGTCAAGCAGATGAAACGAACACGCATGGATTGTTGTTCGTTTGCTTGCAGAGTTGGATGTAGATCTCATCCCTCATGTCCGTCGTCATCCAGCCTTTCACAATGACCATCAACATCATGTTGTCTATCTTTCTCTTGGCTGCATTGTTAACATTGCTACTGCTGGTTTTATTATCACTGATGTTGTTGTCGTTGTTGTAGGTGAATTTATTTTTTAGGCTGAGAAATCTAGTTGGTGATGTTGAGCCATCGAACGTGCCGCTGCTGTTTTTGTTGTTGTCAGTACCTTGATACGATCTGAACCTCCTCGGTGATGATAACAGTTTTTCATCGTTGCTGCTGTTGTTGTGGTTGTTGTTGCGGTTGTTGTTGTCGCGATTATCATCACCAGCACTGCCAACATACTTATTGAATTTATTATTATTGTACGACGACGATGATGATGATGGCGAGAATGCTGACGTGGACGATGACATCACGAAGGAGTGGCTCCTCTTCAGAACCCTGTCCCCCATGTACAGTTGGATGCACTTGAAGACGTCGCCAGCCTCCTTGTTCACCAGCTTGTTCGACGTTCTCAGAATCGGCTTTCGTAAACTCTCCTGGTTTGTTTATACATGCGTGTCTTTGTGTCCGTGTGTTTGTATGTGTGCGTTTGAGTGTCTGTTTGTGTACGTGTTTGTAGCCATAAGAACTATAAATATCGATGGCAAGTAAGCACCTTAGTCCAAGACAGCAAGTTCTCAGCAGATAATAGCTTGCCAAAAAACCTCCTCTTGTGATCATTGAGAATCTTGCCGGGGAAGACGAATGATGAGAACTGGAACAAAAATGAGATGAAATAAACATTGTTGCATGCACTTGGTTGAATGTGATCATTCTTGCAGTAACTAAATGTTCCTACATTACAAACCCCATCACAACTCTATAGCCCACCTTAGCTACAGATTCAATTATGTCAGGGTTCCTCAGCGGGGGTGCCGATTTATACCTTTGCTGAGTGTTCGTGCAAGTAGCCAGGCCAGCAGGGACACTGCCCCCACCATCACCATTCACGTCAGACCAATTCAAAGATGGGGCAGTCGTTGGGTCTGTCTCCGAGTAACAAAAACCGTGGTGAGCCTTGCCTTGCTGTTGGTGAGTCTGTGACAAATTGGTGCATATGTATGTGTGTGACGTGTGTACGCTTTAATGTATGCTGAATGTAAGCGTATGAGGTGTACTCTGTATATTCATGTGGGTTTGTGTTTTAATAGCATTGTTAATAATTGAAAAACAACTTTCGTCGTGAAAACAACGATTACGGTAATATTAAACAGACATTAACATCTTTTAAGATGGCATTCTTTGGGTGCCTCAGTATATCTTGAGTAAAATTATTATTATTGTTATTATTATTATTGTTATTATTATTATTGTTGTTGTTGTTGTTGTTGCAGCCATGTTCACCGAGAGTTGGTGGGGACGACAGTAAGGACGTTGATGAGGGTATGAAGACACTGTTGTCATCACTGTTGTCGTCTGCTGGATGAATTAGGCGATGATGGTGACGATGATGATGGCAGTGTTGATAACGATAATGTTGACGTTGGTGATCTTGATGATAGTAATAATAACAATGGTGATGATGATAATGATGACGACGACGACGATGATGATGTCAGGTATGACATGAAAAGTAGCAGGAAATGAGAGGATAGGAAATATTTACATGTGTTATAAATTCTCAATGTCGTTTTTATTCTCATCGTCGTCGTCATCATCATCATCGTCGTCGTCATCATCATCATCATCGTCATCGTCTTCATCACCTCTATAAATATTGGCGGAACAGAATGATGCCTGATCGACACTGAAAGCCTCTTCTTGATTGGTGGCCTCCGAGTCACATGACATCAACGATGACATCATCATTGCTGTGCTGGGTTCATCTGACGTCGATGGTTTACTTTCGACCGAGTAGTAATTAGTGGCTGCAGTCTTTCGAGTGAGAGTTCGATCATGGTTGTTGCTGCCATTGGTGTTGTCCCGATCGTAAACATTGTTGTTAATGCTATTGCTAAAATCGTTAATGATGAAGTTGTTGTTGATGTTGTCAATTGTTTCGTGGTTAATGTTGTTGATAGTGCTAGAGCTATTTAGGCTGACGTTGTAGTTGCTCGCTGAGGTTGGTGCATAGCAGCCTTCATTATTTACGACATTGTCGTCATGATATATAGTAGCAAGAACATCGTCACACCTGATGTTGCTACTGTTTTGTTGCTGTTGTTGTTGCTGCTGCTTGTCATGCGGTTGTTTGACTGACAACAACACAACATCTTTATTGTTTTTGTTGATGTTGTTGCGAGGGTAGAAACTAGCTGTAGAACTGAACTGTGTTTGTGTTTTTTTAAAGGTTTGTATGTAAGATTGGTACATAAAAACTTGTAAACCACAATTTGTACATAGAAATGTCAAAATTGTTTACATAGATTCAACCAACAACGAAAAATTCACGACGCCAACAACAACTTACTATAGATTTAGTAGCAGGTCGTTCGTCAATTTCTCTATTAACACTCTCCTTTGATCTAACCATAGATATATTTTTCTCTCTCCTAGTCACCGTAGAAACTTTATTATTTTTATTTCCAGTGCTATCTTCAACCATGTTTCCCATAGAAATATAATTTCTTTCATTATCACCCCCTGAGCAATGTTCATTACGATCATTGGTTTCTGAAAAGTCTTTGTTGTTGCCGCTGTTTCTGAAGGAGCTGGTCGATCGAGCGATAGTTAAGTGTGGATTAGTGCGAGGAAAGGCAGAGGCTTGTTTGTATTGGTAGCCTCTTTGCTTATTTAAAGTCTTTGGGTAGAAAAAAGTTTAAAAGTGAAAGTAGATATGAAAAATTAATTTTAATACACATTCGGCAACATCAAAACTTACAGCAACTGCATAAGTGGTCCCAGATTCACTGTGTAATCTTTGTTCATTCCTTCCATCCATCCACCCATCATCATTCATTCCTTCATCCACGTTGACTTGATCATACGAGCGAGATATTGTCGACTTGCACGGATGAAGATGTTGTGCTGGGTTGTGACCAGTGTAGTTGCTATGCTGTTGTTTACAATTGTTGCTGTTGTTGTTGTTGTACTTGCTAGTTGATGTGGAGATTAGTTGCACATTTTTGTTGTTGTCCTCAAAGGTTTTGCTGCCAAAGACAAGTTTTTTGTTGTTGCTTAAGAAGGTAGATTTGGGCATTGTCGTACTGTTATTCTTGAACCTCTTTTTCAAAGAAGATTAAATAGTCATTAATTGAAAATATAAATAAACGAACAAACCTAACTAGCGTTATAATTAATAATAATAATAACAACAATTAATAACTACAATACCTGGGTGTTGATATCTCTCATCAAGTGCTTCCACTCTTGCGATTTATTCTCAATAAACCTCTTTGATTCGAATAAAAAAGAGTACAAATTATAAATAATTTTAATAAATAATATTATTAAAAGTAGTAATAAATGAATAAAAAAAGTGAAAAAACAGTTTAAAAATGATAAATGAATGAATGAAAGATCACAAAATCAAGCAGACATACTTGAACTTTATAAAGAGGTACGATGTTTTTAGTGTTCGGTCTCTTCCAGGCCACAAATCGACTGCAGGTGCTGTAGTAGTAGTAGCAGCAAGACAGTGGGTCATACAGCTCCCACCATTGGTTAAGTTGGTAAGGTTTACTGGTTTTTAAAATTATGGGTAAATGTAAATTTAAATAGTTTTGTAAAAAAAATTTAATCATTTCAATTTTATTTATTTATTTAACTTATGATTTCATTTTATACTCAATTATATTAATGAAATGTGTGAAAAAACATAGTAGCTCAGTTAAATTTAACTTAATATTTTAATCAGAAGAATTTTACTCACTAAGCGGTATTAGGAGGTAGAGAACTTCGATATTCTCCTTTTGACAGATTGACATAAACAAACTGAGACGTTT